GGGAGTTCCGAAAGGAGCGAGGGAGAAAGGACTTCCAAGACCGGGGAGGGGGTCTGCGGCGTCTGGAAGGCAGGGAGAGGAAGATCCCAGGTGTGGTGGAGCCCGCGTGAGGTGGGACTGGCGATCCTCGTAGAAGGAATCGGGCCTGCCTCGTGGAGGGGGCGAAGTGGCATCCTCGGGAGAAGGCGTGGCTCCGAGCAAGTGGAAAGTCGGGACACGAGACGGAGCGGGAGTTTCTAGAACCCTCGAGGAGGTCTCGGGATGCGAGCAGGGTGCGGAGAAGCGTGGCTGATCCCGGGGTCTCCGGTGTTCCCCGCGGTAGGGCGCTTTCGCTCTGGGGACGCGGGGCTGCCCCTCTCTCGATTCCTTACAGCCTTGGGCCTTTTAGCCGATTGGAGCCGCTCCTCTGAAAGCGTAGGCTTGCTGGAGGAAAGAGGCAGAAGGGCTGCCGCCTCAGAAATGAGCCAGCGGGAAGTAGAAGTTCTACTGAAACGTAGAAAATGGCCCTGGCTCGACTTGAGGCATGGAGAAGTGAGTGCTGCGGAGCTCCGGTGGTGCAAGCTGCTTCCCCATCCCTGGCTTCGTCGTTGGCCAGTCCCATAAAGGACAGTTGTTGTTTTTTTAGCATGGCCAAATTTGTCCTTAGAGAATAAGAAAATGATTGCAGGGGGTTTTTCAAAAATCACACAATCCTGCTTCTTGTTTTCAAAGGATCTAGCCAGACTTTTGTATCCCGAAGCGCTAATTGTAGCATATTAAAAAGGGGTTCCACAGCCCTTGCATTTCATACTTTACCGAGGAGAGAGACGTGAATCAAGATGCGGCCCCCACCCGCGTAGAGCAAGATATATGATTGTTGCACCCCTGTGTTTGTAAGACTTTCCAGCAAATATCTTTATTCCACTAATCATCCACATTTCTTCACAAACGTCACCTGTTTAATCTAGGCAAGTAACTCTAAGCATTGGTATTCTCGTCTTTAAAATGTGAAAAATGCCTACTTTTCTGGCTTGTGAGATTAATGAACATAATCTAATAATTTGGGTAAAGCATTCCGAGCATATTCCACTGAGTCAAAGAGAGGCAGCTTAAATTTATAGCCAAACCTTAAGCAGGAAAGGCAAGAATATGGTACAAATTTATTCACATCCTATTTTTTTGAACCCATAAGCAAATGGAAGATAGTTCACCTCAGCTCATGCTGGCTGCAGGGTGTTTAATTCTTCATCCCTTCCCAGTTTTGTATGATTCTTTGTTCTCATTTGGAAGATAAATCAACTGTTGACAGATAAGGAACTAGCTTTGAGGCCAAAGAACACAACCTTCTGTGTGAGCAATTTCTACAGAAAACTCCTGGAAAAAGATCTTGAGAGCCCAAAATGCTGATTCAGATTAGGTCCTGAGAGAGTATAAGAAAAATGGCAGCCAGGCTCGGTGGCTCAGCCTGTAATCCCGCGCCTTTGAAAGGCTGAGGTGAGTGGATTGC